ATATCGTAACTATCCGAAATAAAGCTCATGCCAATGGCCTAAGTGGTCACCTTTAATATTAAAAAAAAAAAAAAAAGAAGTTAGTAACAAAAGATCAATTAAAAAAGAAAAAAAAAGAAGTTAAAGTTAATAATCTAGTTAGAAAAGTATTAAATAAAGTAATAAGAAGTGGAATAACTCTTTTCTAGTTTATTTCTTAACAAAGCTAACAAAGTTTTCTGATCTATTGAGAGGTTAGTGTAACAGATCGTATCTAGGCACTTTATATATATAGTAGCTGGATATATTATAAAAATAAGTTTTTAAAAAAAGTCTATTTTGTCTTCATTAAAGCAAATTAAAATTTTTTATAAGAAAAAGCAAATCTAATTTATATAATTATATTTCTTATAATTTCGTCTATTCAAAAAAAGTATCAAAAAATTTTATCTTTTAAGTAAAAGTAAGTCAAAACAATTTCATTTTAAATTTTAATTTCAGGTTTTAAAACCTAAAATAATTTTGTCCTCATCTATAAACCTAGAGATATTACTTGGGTTAGAAATATTGGCTCGGGTTAATAAGATTCGGGTCAGATATTGACCCAGATCATGACCCGGGTCAAACGAATTACAGTCAACCCCCTCTATAATCACATGTTTTGTTTATTTAATAACTTTTTTAAAAAATGTGCTTATAAAGAGGTTGTGCTTATATAGAGGTAGTTTTTTATATATTTAATAGTAATTTGTTTTTGAGTATAGAATGTGATAAAGAGGGGTTTTTATATGATATGATTATAGAGGGGGTGACTGTAGAGGGGGATGACTGTATCTAATTAGATTAGTACACGTGATAATTGATCATACTAGCCAATCAGAACTAAATACGTGCAAAATAATAACACATAGAAATATGTTTAACAAACTTGTACTCAAACATAAAATAGAAAGTAGACTTCTTTTACTATTTAAGTTTCATGAAATAACCTCGTAGGCAGGTATGTGGTGTGTAAAAAAAGTTTAACTTAAACGAATCAGACTTCGTTGGTGTTGTGACTTTTTTTTTTTTTGTTTCCAGATAAGTTAAACTTTTTTTATAAATTTTATAGCAGTATAATGATATTTTTGATTTTTTGGTTGCTAGTAGTTCCCAGTAGCTTTTTAAGTGAATCAAGCCTTGAATATAAAGCAGATAAAAAGCTTTAACAAGTTCTTCTGGGCTTTTCATCTGAAATTAGAGACTAGCAACTTCAGTTTTTTTTTTTAATAAAAAGATAAAATTTTTATTTTATTGTGTTTTATAATTTTTTTAGTTAAGAAATACTCATTTCCGCTATTTCTTTACCTTAAGAAAGTAACTATCTGAATCGAATACAACAAATTTTACATTATATAAAGTAAGTTGATGAATAATTTTACTGTATTTAATTAATAATTCATTAACATAAATGATAAAATCTAGGAAAGCTGTACCAATGAATAACGAAAGGTATTGCAATATGAATAATGAAGGGTATAGCAATGAGAATAATGAAGAGTATAGCAATGAGAATAATGAAGAGTATTATGATAAGAACAATAAAGGGTATTATAATAATATAGAGTTAGAACATGTAGATGTTGACTTGGAGTTGGTGAAATCAGAGCATGTAAATGCTGATTTGGAGATGGTAGAATCAGAGCATGTAAATGCTGATTTGAAGATGGTAGAATCAGAGCATTTAGAGGTGGAATCTAATAGTTATATAGTCATCACAGATGATTCGAGTATTAGTAAAGTTTCACAGTCATCTACAACTCAGCATAAAAAAAAAGCTAAAAAATTAGGAGGTAGTCCTGTTAAACTTTTTTATGAGGTAGTGTTGTTTAATAACATAGAATATTGGACTTGTCGGCACAAAAGCTATTCACGAGTAAAATATAAAAAAAATAGCACCACATCAAATTTATGGTGACATTTGAGAAGCAAACATCATATTTCAAGAGTGATAGTGGAAAGTAAACAGGTAAAAATAGAACAACAAAAAGGTGTGAGCAAATGTGAAATTCATATAATAGTGGAATCCTCACAAGGAACATTAGTAGAAGTATTTAGCAAAGTAGCAAAATATTCATCCAATCACCCAAAGCAAAAAAAACTTAACAGTAATCTTACTACTTTTATCACTGAAAAACTCTAACTCTTTTCAATTCTAAAATTACAAACTTTAATAAAAACAATAAAAGACCTGGACCCTCAAGCTAGTGTTTTAAGCAATGATCAGTTGAAAGAAATTTTGATCAATGCTGAGGATAGAGTTTTGCAAAGCATGCATGAGCATGTATATGACAATAATGAAATTTGTTATATCTCATTTACCACGGATATGTAGACTTCAGATAACAATGATCCATATATTGGACTTACGTTTCATTGGGTGAATAGAGACTTTCAAGTACAAGAAATAGTTGGTGAAATTTCATATCTCCCATATCCTCATACAGCAGAACAACTTGCAAACAAAATAATTGAAATTTTAAACAAATTTCAGCTTATAAGCAAAGTTGTGTGTAGTATGATTGATAATGGTGCGAACATTAAGTTGTGTTTAGAGAAGTTAGAGGATAGGTATAATATATTTAAAAATTTTTGTTTTGGTTATACCTTATATCTTGTAATAAATGACACATTAAAAAGATGCTCTAAAATTGTCAATCTTATAAAGAAATGCAAGGATATCATGTCGCATTTCAGTAGAAGTCCAAAACAAAAGCAGTTTCTATTAACAGCTCAGATGACAATAGACGATTGGGATAGGTTGCTTTCTGTGGTCCGTAATGTTTCAACACGTTAGAACTTGATGTTTTATCTGTTAAAAAGGTTAATTATTCTTAAACCGGCACTATATAGATATAAGTCTTTTTTAGTTGAGGACAATGAAAATAGTTCATTAAAAAGTTATAAAGAAAAAGAACTATCATCTGAAGACTGGGAAAAAATAGATGGGTTAGTTGAATTATTGCATCCATATAAGGTTATTTCAACACAATTATCCGGTTCACAGTATCCAACACTCTCACAAG